TAACAGAATGAAATTGGTATTTTGTGAGAACGATATAACAATACAGGGTATCATTATATCTTTTTCTTAACCCTACCTAGACCGGGCTTTTTTTGACATGGGGGGACCGGGGGGGGCTCTTTTGACCCCCCCTAAGAACTCGCGAACGGTATGTCGTATGACCACCAAATTTTCAGAGAATGGTGTACTAGTGAAAATTTATCTTAGCTACAATTTTTATGTCGTTATGACGTAATATGACGTCATTAATGTGATTTTATTGGCCAAAACCGTCTAAATAGGTTTTTCCCTGAAAACCTCCCTGGTATACAACATAACTTTACCAAAAGTGTTTATGACAGAATATTAGTGTGTACTAAGTCTTATGTTGCCCATAGCAACACCGGTGACGTCATAAAATGACGTCATGCATATTTAAGATATCCGCCATCTTGGATCATCAATCTTGAATTTTCAAAAATAGTTTTTTTTCATGATAAAGCCTAAAATACATTGTAAACATACTAAACACCTTCATTCAAACCTTTTTTGTAAAAAGAAATGGAAGTATTGATGAAATTTTAATGAAAATAACCCGTATATACCTGTTCTAATGATATGGTCCGCCATCTTGGATTTTGGCCAAACACGTCATCAAATTAGCATAAATTATGCATATTTAATGATAAAATTTACATAAAATTATATGGGATGTTATTAATATTAGAAACCATGAGTAACTTGACATAAAACCCATAAAATTCTATTGTTGAAACAAAAAGTACTAAATTTAGCAAAAAATGCCTGTCAGAAACCCGTTGCCATGGCAACACAAAAAATTATTATCTTATTCCAATGATAGAGAATTGTTGCCAACAATATTTTAGGAAAAGTCACCAAGTTTGGTCGTTCTACGGCTAGCCGTTCAGACGCTAGGTGACATCAAAGTTGCCGCGGGCACTTTTACGCCCCCCCCCCGGTCTAGGTAGGGTTAAAACTCATATATTTCAGGGAGGTTTGAGATCTCCGAATTCTTGTTTTAATCTACAATTAACAGTAACGTTCATGTTTCAGCTCTCTTTATCAGTTGACTATCACACAACGGAACAATTTTATGCAAACAAAAAAGACATTCTACCACAACAACATTGACTAATGTAACAGTCACAATCCTAGACAACATGGACAAGGGGCTTTTGACAGGTGCAGTATTTTTGGACCTGAAAAAGGCCTTTGATACTGCGTCCCATTAAATCCTGCTTGACAAACTACGAATGAATGGCATCCAAGACAACGAATTGTTGTGGTTTCAGTCATACCTATCAAACAGGTGCCAGATAACAGTTGTAGACGGTACCACTAGTTATTGCCTTGGTATAACTGAAGGGGTCCCACAAGGTCCCGTTCTGGGACCATTGTTATTCATCATATACATAAATGATATGCCAAACTACATAAGCCAAGGACAAATTGAAATAGCACTCTATGCGGATGATACAGCAATTTTCTATGCATCGAAATCAGTTACTGATATAAGCAGAGCCTTGAATGCGGATCTCCGCAATATTGAGAGGTGGCTGGATGGAAACAGACTGACACTTAATGTCCAAAAATGCAAGTCAATGCTTTTTGGCACTGTGAGAAGGCTACGTCTAGATAGCGAACAACTAAATCTTACTCTTTCCGGAACGTATTTGGTGTAATTGGAGGTAGTTTCATGTTTCAAGTATTTGGGCGTTTGGCTTGATCCCTGTCTCACATGGAGCATACGTATTAACAGGCTATGCAATGCGGTGTCCTCTAGGTTAGGAGTGTTAAAACGTTTAGTACCCATTCTACCGCCTAAGACACTTTCTATGCTGTTCAATTGTATGGTTCTCCCAAAGATTGAGTACTGTGAGACTGTATGGGTCAACTGTGGGAAGGAAATCTCTCTCTGACAATCTCCAGAAACTCCAAAACCGTGCAGCACGGACTGTCCTCGGTTTGTCACGACCATCACATGTAGATAACGAGCAGCTGTCTACACTAGGTTGGATTTCCCTGACATCCCGCCGGCAAATGCACCTTCTTTAAACCGTCAATCCATCAGCAGGTACCAACGTACTTACAAGTATTTGACAGAACTTCTCACACCTATCCAACAAGGCAAAATACGTATTTATCATTACAACTACCTAAAGTTAAACTGGAATCTGGCCGTAGAAAATGTGCATACAGGGGTGCATTTGCATGGAATGAGTTGCCTGGTACAGTTAGGGTGGTACTGATAGCTGGTAGCAGAAGCTGATAAAACATCATTGCTGACCTCTGACCACTCGACCCAGCCTGATCCATCGATTTTGATGCTCGGTTGTGTATATATATGTTACTTTTGTTTATTTTGTTTACTGTTGTTGGTGTTTATGTCTATCTGTACAGGGCACGCCTGTAAAGCAGTATATTGTACTGAGTGCGCCTACTCTGTATAAGGAAAACAGAAATAAATAAATAAAAAACACACAGACACACATACACACACACACACACAGACACACATACACAAACATACACAGAGGCATAAACTGCTATAAATTTCAACCTTCATTTTGGAATAACTAGCAAAAAACTCAGTGATGACACTTGGTTTACAGGGTTCCTCAGCTACAAGCCTAAGGCTATGGGTTGGCGTAGGCCGCCTTGCTTAGGCCACCCTGACTTAATTTTATGGATGACATCCACGCGCGCATTGACTTTCGCCTAAATTAAAAAAAAAAAAAGATCACGTTCACAGAGCCTCTGGCCTGGCTCTAGGCCTGGATAGTCCATGGTAGTTATCGTCAATACGGAGCTTTGGTAACTTTGGAGGACCCAGGCTACCGAAGGTCCACGACTCAAGAACTCAGTACATACGTACAGTGCCTATTCATAAATTCCGAAAAAAACATTATGTGCCGTCGTATATGTCGCTATGTATTGCCGCAAATTTACAATACCAGCCAAACCCTGTGGTTTAGTAGCATTTTTATTTTTGGCCGGAATTTTATTTTATTTTTATTCGCCCGCGTTCACTGCTGGTTTGGGGGCCTTCAGAGAATGTCATCCATAAAATTAAGACGGTGTGGCCTTATCACACATCTAGAGTCAAAGGTGAGTTTATATCCACAGAGGTCACTACAGATTAACATGGCCTGTCAAGTTCCGGGTTCTTAAAGACGCTTTCAAGTGATGTATATAAACTTATTTCTTCTCAAGTAGGACTTACGTTTCAAACACCGACCAAACAAACTTTCTTGGTCACACTAGTCCTGTAAACAGTCTGTGACTGCTGTGTCGCTCATAATTACTGTTTTTTTCGCTCCATTAGTTGGTGACTGAACACGTCGAGCAAGGTCATTTTTTATGCGGCAACTTCAAGCAGAAAGGATGTCAAATGTTAGTAACAGGACAATTAAAAAAATCAGTACATACTACATGTTGATTATTACTAAGTACATAATGCACAGAGAAATCTTGGACTGAACCT